CCAGAAAAGTTTTTTTTTAGATCTTTGCAAAGGAAAACTTCCAGGCCTTTTCCAAATCAGAGAAAAAATTCTCATGTCTCTGTCTGCAATGAATGTTTTGCTGTATGAAAAACAGAAGGAAGGGAAAGTTTGGTTTTTATGGGAAAGACCTGCCGATAACTGCTCCAAGTTATTTATTTGCAAGTTTTACAAATTGGCCCAGGTAAACCCCCCCAAAATATCAACTTGTCTGTGGTGGAGACTTTTAGGTACCTAAAGTTGATGAGGAAGACCTTCCCTGCGAGAGTGTTCTGGGTGCTACAGAGAACCCTACCTCAGGTACGGGACTACACATCCTCTGAGGAGCAGGATTCAAGCTGTTCGGAGATCCCAAGCACTTTGCTTCACACCTGGTTTTATCCCAGCATTGCTTGGAAGTGTTTAAGTACGTGGGGTAGTGCCTTCTGTTCCCTGTTCTGAAAGGCTCAAACCACTTAAGGAATACAAAGAAACGTAAACCAGAATGCCTGTTTCCCCTACAACTTAAGGAAAAATCATTCTTTTGCTTCTTTCTAACAATATAAAAGTAAAAACTAAAATATTTCACTGATCCTAGCCACTTACCATTCACACAAGACACTAGTCACCATTTTTCCTGGGGCTACGTCAGAACAGTTGACCAAAGAGGAGGTTATTTAAAGGAGCTGTGTACAAATCCAAGGGTCTAACTGGGAAGAGGCCCTTGCCTGGTTGATTTGGAGCATCCAGAAGGGACCTCCGCAGTGCCTCGAGTGAGAATTTTCCACTGCAGAACATCATCTGCTATTTAGGGAAGCATTTGCTGTGGCTCAGCATTAAGCAGGTAGGACGAGCAAAGGATGCCGAGAATTTATGTCTATTGACGTCTCATTTAGAGAGCTACATTGCTTAATTCAGATTCAAAAATATCTCCGGAGGATCAAAAGAAGAAACCTGCAAAATTGAATCAGTAGAAGAACGAAGCGTATTCCCTGAACAAACATTTCATAAACACCACTTGGCCGACAGATAAAAGAATCCATCAGCAAATGCTTTTGTCAATACCCTGGATTTGTTGTATTTCCACATCTAAAATGCACAGGCAGAGCATACAACAGCAGGAAAACATTAAAACCACACGGTCAGACTTACAAAGCCCCTTCTATGTATATACACATAAAAAACCCAGAATGGTCAAGCCATCTGGGAAAACCAAGGTCAGGCAGAAACCTTGAACAAAATTAGTAGAGCTGTACAATTGGAGACATTTTATGAGGTCTTCACAAAGGCAGTACACTTCAAATGAACAAAACAGCTTCCCTTGAAAGGGAGCCTTTCCTAACACACCATAGCACGCAGTCAGATCTCTTCCCCACCAAACGTTCTCCCAAGAGGAACGTCTTGCACGAACACTGCTGATCCTTCCAGGGGATGAAACGGTCCCACTACTCCCGAATCTCTCCCGACCTGCGCTAGTGGAATGACAATCGGCTCGATTATCTGTGGCTGCCTCAGCGGCCGTAGGAGTCATGCTACTAACAGTCCTTTGCTATCTGGGGACAAAAAGCAGTCTGGCCACGCTACAGGGCTTACAGCTACATTCTTCTACTGCTCCTCATACCTGTGCCTTCTATCACACACAAAAAAAAAAGACAGAGAGAAAATTTAGCTTCAGGGTATGTTCACAGGGTGAGAAAGACCTGAAAAGTGGAAGATGTCATCATCTCTAAAACCGAGTCCCACCTGAGTAAATGAACTTGCCCATGTGGGCTACAGACATTTCAGTAAAACGAAAGATGGGAGAACACAAGAGTACCCTGAGTTATTGTAATGGATGCAAATTGCTCCTGCCCACAGTGCGGGCAGCACAAATCCAGCCTCCCTGCCTCCACGCAGCCCACTCCACAGTGCACTAGCCGAGAAGCCTCAGCCCGTGCCCTTAAAAAAACGCCCCAAACTCCAGACTTGCCCCCAGAGCAGCTCCTCATGCAGCAGGAGGTTCTGAGAAAGCAGACCTCAAGAGATGAAGGCTCAGCTTGTCACAAGACACCAGGTGAGCACTGGAGATGCAGGGAAGCCACTGCTGAAGCTGCTTATTCCTGCTCAGTCCGAGGACAGACAACCTTTGGTTTGAGACTGCAGAAAAGCTGAGAAAGGGGAAAGCAGCAGCTTAGCATCATCCCTGCCGAGCTGCAGCAGGTCCGTCCTGGTTTAGGCCTGGTTCAAAGTTAGTCCTGCGCACTAATTCCTCTCATCTGCCCCTTCAATCGCAGCCGTGGTGGGACCCATTCACCTAAACACATAGAAGGAATAAACCATCCAACAAAGGAAGAGTTACAGCTTTCCTCTCATCTCCCTCTTCCATCATTATTGCCACTGAAGGGCCATTTTATCACTTGCAGCTGTGGTCATTCAGTGACAACCTGCTGTGCTCAGAGGCAGATGAGACCTCCACATTTGATCTGCATTAAGCCTGTTTCATGGCTTCACATTTCTAGGTACATTCCTAACAGCAGCACCAACAACCAAATCTTTTCATCCCTCCAACCGCTCAGTAGCTCCTGTGAAATCTGTCATTTATCTTTCACATCAGGCTTTATTTATTTTTTTTTTCATTCAGCATCAGTTAGCAATCTGTGCCCCAAATCCACCAGCCCCAAACAAGGGCCAGCACTTCTCCAGCTCCTTCCATTCCCTTCAGACCCGAGGTGCAAACGAACCAGCTCTTCACACATAGTAGCTAAGAAACACAGCACTTTGCTCTCAGGTGCAATGAGCCCTCAGTTGTATCCATCTTCAGGAACTTTCAGAACAAGGCAGCTGTTCAGCTTTGTTTGGTTTAGGATGCTTGTTTGGCACATAAAGCAAGGGGAGGAGAAATGAAAGCCTGAATGGTATCCTAGCACAACTTTGCTGTAGAAGATCCCAGATTTTTGAAGATCCCCGATTAGGATGCCACGGGCAAGTCCCACATACTCACTAGAAAGCCAAAGCCCTGCTGTAGATAGCAGTGGGGAGAGCAGGCATGGGAAAATGGACAGCACAGCTTCTGAAAAACCCTGCCAAGTCAAAAATTTCCTTCGCAGTAGGACACAGCAGCTCAGATTAATGACAGGAGAGGAGCTGCCGCCTGTAGCTCAATGTACACTGTTTGGTTCTATCAATCTGAAGAAACTGAGCTCCCCGGAGTCCTTCTGCCTATTTCTTTTGGGGACACCGAAAACAAGCCCACAACTGCCTCATACCTTGCAATCTAGCCAGTTCCACAGAGCAAAGGCAAAAAAACCTTCTAGCCCCTCTGGCAGTTCACTCCATCTCCCCCCCACAACGGTGCTGGGGCTCTTCTGTTTCATTTTCAGCCTCCTAGCAAGCAAGAAAACAAGGGAGTCTCCAGAAAACAAATACACTTGGAAATGCCCAGATGATTAAAAGCTCAACTCCTACAGCAACCAGCTGGTGACCAGCTCAGCCCCTGCACCGGGAACACGTCAATTATAAATAATTAAAAGGTAATAGGAAGGAGACACTGAAGTATTAAGCAGATTTCTCTCTAGGTATCTGGAGGTTTCTATTGCTGCCAATCACACCCTTTGGATTATTGTCTTGTCTGTCAGTCATCCCAGCCCTTACACTGACATGTGAGCTCAGGTTAACATTGGCAAGTAAACTAATTAAGCCCGGTTATGCCTCTGCACACAAAAGCAAAAAATATCAGCTCTAATTTTTAACTGACTTGGAAGCATAACGTCATACTGCTGGAGAGGGAAAATTCACACAGGTCAGCTGTCAGCTCCAGCCACGCCAGGTAAAACGGACCCGGCTACGAAGAGCAACTGCAATAGCTGTGTTTTGGATAGCCTTTCCTCTGCTTGTGATCATCCAGAGGGAGATGCACCTGAAAACGCAGGGTTCAAAAGACAACTGGAAATAAAACTGTAGCTCCAACGCAGCAAACAGATAATTTTCAAATAAAATGTTGCATATTTATGCTTTATTAGACTCTCAGGGCACAATGTTGCTGGGGACAGCCCCCCCTTCCAAATAAGCACAACCTGGTTGGTTTGGTCCAGCACACTCAGAGTATTATGCCACAGGGGAGCAAAAAGGTTCTTTTTCTGTCTGCTCTTCACACCTACCTTCAGCAGATTTTTTGGAAACAATGAAAAGGTCTGCAGCACAATTTAACACTTTTTGTCAGAAGCATCTTTGCTGAAAGAGTCTGTCTGGCCTGGCACGCTTGGAGGGGTAAAGGAAGAGAGCACCGCAAAGGATTTCCCACAAGTGTTCGGCGTTTTATACAATACCACATATAGGTACATTTTTATTATGAATAGCTCGTAATGAGGGAACCAAACTTTGATAACTAGGGGAGAGAAAGAGACTTTTGTGACATCCCAGCTGAGCTACTTCACACATGCAGCACCGCTCCCATAGCAAGGAGAGATGCAAGTTGGTGACAGCACAGGGAGGAATGTGAGAAACTGCGCGCTCCTGCACTCAGTTACACAAAATTACTAAACAGAGAGCTGACAGCGTGAATCTACAGAAAAATGTGGCTTGGTGTCTATTTTCCCAGTCCCCAGATTGCACGCCACTACTCTATGCAGACTGTGAAGGGATTCACACTCAGCTTCCACATGCCACTGAAATCAAACAGGAGAAGATGTGTGATCATGCCACCTGAAGGGGAGAGCAGAGAATCCCCAGTGGTACTCAGTCCTTTTTCAACAATTCTCAGGCTCTTCAGTGCAAAGACAACCAGAGTATTAGGTAGGAGTGAGAGTAGAGAAAGTGTCTGTGAAATTAAGTTACAGGGCAGAAGAGTTCTCTCCTACTGAGCTCCTTATCTCCAGAGGCAAATATCTTAGCACTGCTCTTCCACCAGATCTGCAAGTTCAAGGGCTGGATCTGTTCTTTCAAACTCAGAAGGGAAGAATTCCACCTGCAGCAGCACCCCTCTACCCCTTTTTTACCCTATCAAGTTCAAACAAGTGCTCACTCACCCCTCTTCTGCATAAAGATGAAGAGGTCATCCAGGAACTCTTTCCGTTCAGGGTCGCTATCCAGTTCATAGAGCTGGGGGGAAAAAAAATAATAATGAAGGCACAATCCACAAGGAGACAGAGAAAGTAGTAATGTTAGCTTCTTCCAGTGGGTTTTCTGGTGTTTTTTACTGAGGGAAAGGCAGCCACGGGCAAAGAGACAAGCGGACAAGGCTGCAGCAATAGTCTGAGGACCCTCTTTACGGCTTCTCGGTCACTCATCCAGCAATCCCTGAAAGGAACAGGATTCAGCATAGTTAACAGCACTGCTCCAGAGAGAAAGGGGGGAGAAACTGTTAGGACAAGCTGGAAAGAAAGATGAGACAACCAAGAGGAAGGCAACTGGTTCAGGGAGGATTACTCGTCAGTAGCTTTGAGGTACCAGGGAGGTAAACTTCTCCACAGCTTCTCCTAGCCTCATCATTCCCTCCTTCAGGGTTTGTCACTTAAGTGACAAACTCCAAGTCCCTTGAAGGAGGAGATGAAAGGATAGAGCTTTCCTGTAACTACTAGTGCCTGGCAGGAAAGGCTCCTTTAAAGTCAGTCAAAAAGCCTTGAAAAATATGAGAAACCAGCCTGGAATCAATTTGCTGCAGAAATTCTACCAAAAGGCTTAAAACCCCCAAGCATTTAAAACAAAAGTCCACAGACAGCCTATTCCAAGGGTGAAGCACTGTATGGTAGCGCTATCCACCGATTTTTCAACAGGGGGGGCAGGCACAAGAGCATCACCTCTTGCAACTACCTCTCAAACAGAAAAATCCAATTTTCACCTATCAAGAATCCTGTGAGGCCACAAAGTGACAGGTTGGAAGGGCTGAAGTCAGTCTCTGAGAAACGAGAGGATACAGAACAAGACAGAAGACGACGCTGTACACAAAGTAGAATTCAATTCCTTGTCTCGTTTCCACTGAGGAAGAATCCTGCATCACTCCAGGGAATTTTTTTGCTGGTTGTAGCTACTCATGTGGAGCAGCTCAAGGGAAAAGCACAAATTCAGCAGGGAAAAATGTATTTCAGCCTCTCTGTAGGTGCTGTTAGCTACTTGGTATTCATCTAGCCCAAAAGAAGAGGGGCTTTTTTGGGCTCATTTCCTGTGAAGCTATGTGCTTTCTCACACAGTGAGCTCTGGGAGAAAAAAAAAACCAGTGTGTTTGCAGAGCAATTAGCTGCACTCTTTCAGAAAGGGCCAGCTTCGTTTAAAATGAATTCCTCTGGCTGATGTGACACACAGCTGCCACATTCAGCTCCACGACCACAGGTTCAAGACATCAAGCAATCAGGTTCAAGAAATTAAATACTCTTCTCCCAGCTGGAGAAAGTATTGACTAAGATTTAAACTTCAGAAGTTTGGTTATGAAGTCTTAGTTCAAATTATATTCCAGCAACAAAAGGCAACAAACCAGCTCAGCTTTGGGCTCTAAATAAACCACAAAAATAGCAGGTTTGGAGGCAGAGGGCTACAGGACAACAGGAAGAATTCCCCCAAATCCCGGTGATCAGACTGACCTTGGCAAAGTCTCGGGAAATTTCTCTTCCTCGGCATCCATCGCCTTCATCGCTCCAGGTCACGTTGCCGTTCTAGGGAAGAGAGAAAAATGAAGGGGTGAAAGGATCACCAGGGAAAGGCTTTGCGGACAATTCCCAAAAGCTTGTAAATGTGCATTTTTTGGGGGAACAGACACATGCAAAAGCAGCTGCTGGCTTAGTCTAAGACAACTAGAAAGACGGGGGACATTTGGTATTTGTTACAGCACGCTTTCCTGGAACCTCTGACACTCAGCCCAAAATGGGAAGCGACATTTCACCTTCCAGACAACTAGTGAAGGTAGGGGAAGTTTTTCAGCTCTAAGATTCATCCCCCCCCACTGCACAAATTCATATTAAAAAAGTTATCTTGATGCCAGGGAAAACCATTCTAGGGGAAGTCCTCAACACCTCCACCCTACCTGCCTTCATCTGCTGAACAGAAGTCCACTAAATCCCCTGTAGCAGGTGCTTTGCTGTAATGAGGTCCAGCATCTAGAGAGGTGCTGGTTTTGCTCTCCACGTCCATTTTAAACCAAACTCACATCCTAAAGCCCCTGGTGAAAGGTGCAGGTGTCCTTCCTTCCTTCCTTTCTGTGCCCCCTCTGCTTGCCTACAAAACCAGAGTATTCCAAAGAAAAAGGGCAATAATCCCACTGGAAAGCTTCTTGCCAACCCAGAACCCTTACTCCTGGAAGCTCCTGGCTGTGGTTTTTCCCCCACAGAAATGGAAAGCTCAGCTTTGCTGGATTAAGGTTCATTCTTCTTAGGCATTAAAAGGATTACTCTAGTTAGGCCAACTCTACTTGGTAGATCATCATCCTGAAACGATCCCCAAGGTTGGCAACAGGCAGAGGCAGCTTCGGGCTGCACGGCAGGACCGAGACCAGAAGAATGATTCTGGATAAAAAAAACTGTTCAAGCACCATAAACTTCTTAAAACTCCAACGTAGCAAGTGCTCCAGAGCCACTCAAGGAAAGAGAACAGCCAAATCCACCCAGCAAGGTAGCTTGGACCACCCTGTCCTGATAAACACACAGCATCCTAACACAGATAGAAAAGGACTGAGGATAGTAAGAGGTTTCAGCACAAAAAAAAAAAGGCATGCAAATTAGAGAGGTAGTCCGATATCTGAAATCTTGGAGTCATCTGGTTGTGACACATACATTAAATTAGAAAGATGAATAGCTCTTGTCAAGGCCAGGCAAAGCTACATTTCCCCCTCTAAAAAACACTGCAGTGAGCTGCCCTAATGCCTGCTGATTTAGTTTGAGCCAG